ACCAGTACAAAGGCTGCTTCATGGATCACTGCCTTGTCGTGGCGAAGGGGCTTGCGTAGCTCAATGAAGCTATGAACTATGCCGTGCAGGGTCACCCAAGACGTACAGGTCATAGCAGAGGGCTCTGACAAAACGTGATCCACTGGAGAAGGAAATGGCAACCCACTCCAGTATCTTTGCCATGAAAACCCCATGGACAGTACCAAAAGGCAAAAAGATATGACGCCGGAAGATGAGCCCCTCAGGTCAGAAGGTGTCCAATATGCTACTGGGGCAGAGCAGAGGGCTAGTACTAGTAGCGCCAGAAAGAATGAAGTGACTGGGTCAGAACCATGGAACAGAACCATGTATCTGGTGGTGAAAGGAGAGTCCAATGCTGTAAAGATCTATACTCCATAGGAACCTGGAATGTAAGATCCATGAATCAAGGCAAGCTGGATGTGGTCAAACAAGAGATGACAAGACTGAACATTGACATCTTAGGAATCAGTGAACTAAAATGGACAGGAATGGGTGAATTTAATTCAGATGACCATCAGATATACTACTGTGGGCAAGAATCCTGCAGAAGAAATGGAGTAGCCTTCACAGTCAATAAAAGAGTAGGAAAAGCAGTACTGGGATACCATCTCCAAAATGACAGAATGATCTCAGTTCGACTCCAAGGCAAACCATTCAACATCACAGTAGTCCAAGTCTATGCCCCAACCACTGTGCTGAAGAGGCTAAAGTTGACCAGTTCTATGAAGGCCTACAACACCTTCTAGAATTAACTCCAAAAAATGATGGCCTTATCATCATGGGGGGATTGGAATGCTAAAGTAGGAAGCCAAAAGATAACTGGAATAACAGGCAAGTTTGGCCTTGGAGTACAAAATGAAACGGAGCACAGGCTCGTAGAATTTTGTCAAGAGAATACGATGGTCATAGCAAACACTCTTTTTCAAAAACCCAAGAGACGACTCTACACATGGACATCACCAGACATTCAACACAGAAATCAGATTGACTATGTGCTCTGCAGCCAAAGATGGAGAAGCTTTATGCAGGCAGTAAAAACTAGACCAGGAGCTGACTGTGGCTCAGATCATGAGCTTCTGGTTGCAAAATTTAGGCTTAAGTTGAAGAAAGTAGGGAAAAGCACTAGGCCACTCAGGTATGACCTAAATCATATGCCTGATAAATATACGGTAGAGTTGACAAATAGATTTAAGGAATTAGATCTGATAGACAGAGTGCCCGAAGAACTATGGATGGAGGTTCGCAACATTGTACAAGAGGCAGCAACTAAAACCATCCCAAAGAAAAAGAAATGCAAGAAAGTAAAATGGCTGTCTGAGGAAGCTTTACAAGTAGCTGAGGAAAGAAGGGAAGCAAAAGGCAAGGGAGAAAGAGAAAGATACAAACAATTGAATGCAGAATTCCAAAGAATAGCTAGAAGAGATAAGAATGCCTTCTTAAATGAACAGTGCAAAGAAATAGAAGAAAACGATAGAATAGGGAGGACCAGTGATCTCTTCAAGAAAATTAGAGATGTAAAGGGAACATTTCATGCAAAGATGGGCATGATAAAGGACCAAAATGGCAGGGACCTAACAGAGGCAGAAGAGATTAAGAAGAGATGGCAAGATTACACAGAAGAAGTATACAAGGAAGAGCTTAACATCCCTGATAACCACGATGGGGTGGTCACTGACCTCGAGTCAGACATCCTGGAATGTGAGGTCAAATGGGCCTTAGGAAGTCTGAGCAACAACAAAGCTAGTGGAGGCGACAGTATTCCAGTTGAGCTATTCAAAATCCTAAAAGATGATCCAGTAAAAGTGCTACACTCAATATGCCAGCAAATTTGGAAAACTCAACAGTGGCCACAGGATTGGAAAAGGTCAGTTTACATTCCGATCCCAAAGAAGGGCAATGCCAAAGAATGTTCGAACTACCGCACCATTGCACTCATTTCACATGCTAGCAGAAATGCTCAAAATCCTACAAGCTAGGCTTTAGCAGTATGTGGACCGAGAACTACCAGCAGTACAGGCAGGATTTCAAGAGGCAGAGGAACTAGAGGTCAAATTGCCAACATACGCTGGATGATGGAGAAAGCTAGGGAGTTCCAGAAAAACATCTACTTCTGCTTGATTGACTATGCTAAAGCCTTTGATTGTGTGGATCACAACAAATTGTGGCAAGTTCTTAAAGAGATGGGAGTACCTGTCCATCTTATTTGTCTCTTGAGAAACCTATGTGCGGGTCAAGAAGCAACAGTGAGAACTGGACACTGAACCACTGATTGGTTCAAAATTGAGAAACGAGTTCGGCAAGGCTGTATACTGTCACCCTGTCTATTTAACTTATATGCAGAGCACATCATGAGAAAGGTGGGGCTAGATGAATCACCCAGTGGAATTAAGATTGCTGGGAGAAGTATCAACAACCTCAGATATGCAGATGACACCATCTAATGGCAGAAAGTGAAGAGGAACTAAAGAGCCTCTTGATGCGGGTGAAGGAGGAGAGCGCAGAAGTTGGCTTGAAACTCAACATTAAGAAAACTAAGATCATGGCATCCGGTCCTCTCACTTCCTGGCAAATAGAGTGGGAAGAAATGGAGGTAGTGACAGATTTTATTTTCCTGGGCTCCAAGATCACCGCAGACAGGGAATGCAGCCAGGAAATTAAAAGACGCTTGCTCCTGGGGAGGAAAGCTATGGCAAATCTAGGCAGCATACTAAAAAGCAGAGACATCACCCTGCCAACAAAAGTGCATATAGTCAGGGCTATGGTTTTCCCAGTTGCAGTGTACGGCTGTGAAAGCTGGACCATAAGGAAGGCTGAGCGCCAAAGGATTGAGGCCTTTGAATTGTGGTGCTGGAGGAGACTTCTGCGAGTCCCTTGGACCGCAAGGCAATCAAACCGGTCAGTCCTAGAGGGGATCAACCCTGACTGCTCTTTAGAAGGCCAGATCCTGAAGATGAAACTCAAATACTTTGGCCACCTAATGAGAAGGAAGGACTCCCTGGGGAAGAGTCTAATGCTGGGAACAATAGATGGCAAAAGAAGAAGGGGACGGCAGAGGATGAGGTGGCTAGATGGAGTCACTGAGGCAGTTGGTGTGAGCTTAGGTGGACTCCAGGAGATGGTGGAAGGCAGGAGGGCCTGGAGGAAAGTTGTCAATCGGGTCGCGATGGTCAGACATGACTTCGCGACTAAGAACAATTACAAAGGGGCAACATTCCACTGACCACCAGCTTTTGGGCGGCCCTGAAGAAGGTATCTGAGTGTATTTCCTACCTAAGTATATATCCTACCTTTCCTACCTTCTGCTAAAATCAGAGTCCAAGAAAATCCCTGACAGCTCACTGACCAGCCATGTGAAATCTTCACAAGTCGTGGGCGCCCTTAATCTTTCCAAATACGCACATGGCTGCTGGGGCGATCGCGTGCTGACAGAGAGGGCTCTGCGTGCCCCTTCCGGTTCGCCATCACTGGTATAATCTGTTGTAACTTCAGCTACACAAACACTTCAATTTTTTTCGAGGCAACCCTGTATCAAAAGATAGCGGTTTGGCATAAGAATTCTTCTTCTTAGTTAGGTAAGCTTATTCTTATTGTTAGTCGGGGTTATCTAAGTTATCTTTTACGTCAGTCAGGCTCCAGTCCAACAAAATCAATGGGGCAGCTTAGTGATGAGTAAGCGATGTTCGAATGATTTCAGTGGTACCATGCAAGCTGGCTCCAGGCCTGAGTGTGCACATATGGATGCACATGCACATGCTTGCATAGTTATGTGACACTTCAGCTGAAGTTAAGCAAGTTTAACCCAGCAGCAAAGCTAAGCACGCACACGCACCACTCCCATTGCTGTCTGTGTAACTTCAGGTATTTCTGTCTATTAGGTGAGGCATCCCAAATTAAGAGGGTTGCACAGGAGTTCTTGATAATTTCCTTCATTACGTGTTTGTGTCACCTGGAAAGAATGACTACTAGGGTACAAAATGTGGAGCGCATATTTTTCTCCTTGCCTTTTTATGGGTGATTTTAAAAATGTCTTTGCAATTTCTCTCCCATTGGTCGCAAGAGCAGGTCTATGTTTCTTCCAGGTTTGGAAACATGTCAGGGAAATCTACCCACTGATCAGCTCTTGCAACACACCCTTTTGCTTCTACTGACATCAGAGAGACAGTTCTCCTCCCTCTAGTCTTTTAATTTTAGCATATATTTTAGATTATATTGTGTTTCTTTGATTCATAGTCAGTTGATCATTAATAATCTTTTTTTTAAATTAGACTGACAAGTCTTCAGTTACATGGAATGGTCACTGAATATAGATACTCAGAAAGATTTTTGTGTTTGATGCTTATGCTTGAAAGGTTTATAGAAGCTTTTGTTTGGCACTACATATATTTCTTGCTAGCTGGTCGCTGAGCAGTCAGATATAATTGAATGGCAGCAAATAATGTTGGTGCAGGGTCCCTTTTAGGAACAGAAGTTGTTTGCCTGAGTTTGCTGTACTTTTAAAGGTAGAGTAACCTTTAAAAATTCCTTTGTTAACAATACTATGTGAGTGTGTGTGTAAAAGCAACATTGTGTAACTCTTCATCTCCTTCCTTCAATGACTTTTTTTACAGATCAGTTGCATGGAATATCTTGGATGTCTGTAAAAATGAGAAATGTGCACAAAGCTTTTCTTTCACCAGTGTTTTCTGTTGATGTAGTGCAAGGTTGGCTTCTGTGCATTTTAACAGGCAAAAAGTCTACATAGTCTATTAACAGCATACAGCATTTCTGCCTCACCTACAGCACTTTGCATTCCAAAAGTATTTTTATTATATGCTTATAGCTTATGTCACACAAGCAGCAAACGTATCAGCTCAGTTGTATGCTGCCAATAACAGTCTTTTAGCCCCAAATGCCACTTGAGGTTTTGTATTTCATTGTGAAAATGAACAGGAGAACCTCCTTGTTGGAGTATCTTCTAACATCTTTGCTTTTCTTTGCAGGAACTTTTTACACCAGAATGCAAGTTTAAGGAGTCTGTTTTTGAAAATTATTATGTAATCTACTCATCAATGCTATACAGACAACAAGAGTCAGGTAGGGCCTGGTTCTTGGGGCTCAATAAAGAAGGGCAAGTCATGAAAGGGAACAGAGTGAAGAAAACGAAACCAGCAGCTCATTTTCTACCGAAGCCATTGGAAGGTAAGATTTGGTTTGGAGCAGCCAGATATACCAAACTACTGAAATACTTTATCTTCACTTGTACGATCACAAACAGAGTGGGTGGCTTCAGTGGTGTACTTGTGTGCCGTCCCACGTGCTGTAAATGCTGAGTGGTACCTGTTCCACTCCCAGGGTTCTTTGGTCTTGCTTTGTATTCTGAGAAGGTTCCTGTGTAAGGATCCTCAGTCAGGGTATGAGTGCAGACAGCCATTCTGAGAGCAATTCCAGCATCTCAGAACAGCGTTCTAGTGCAGCATGAGGGCTGAAAGACTGAGCCCTGGAAAAGGAAGCCTACAGGACAAGCGTCAGCCTTGCTACAGATTCATCGAATGTGGTCAAAAGGTGGCCATAGCCATGCCAGCCCTCCTCCAGCTTTGGTCCCCAGCTGCAATATGGGGATAATAAGAATACAGGCTGTTGTAAGGATTACTGAGGTAATATATGTGCAGCATTTTGCCTGAAAGTGCCCCATGAAATACGTATGATTATTCCAAAGAAGAATTCAGAGTTCACATCGAAGCAAGAAAGTGTTACTTAACCAGCTAGAGAGGATATTAGTTACAGCAGAAGCTCTTCTTTTTTAAATGGCTTACAATTAAGAAAGAAAGAATGAAATGTAGATATTCCACTTTAGAAAGCAAAAAAAAAAAAGCTTGTTAAAGTCAAGAGCCAATTGATGCACTGCGCTCACTAATCTCAAGCTGATTTTGCATTCGAAATCCACTTCAGAAGCCACCACAGCAAAGCCTTGGGCCAGATGTTTTAAATGCAAGATGCAGGGCCTGCTCTCACCAAGTGCGATCCAAGCACCAGTTGCTACCCTTGTAAGTGAACGCCTGCAGCACTCATCTCTTCCCTGTGTTCAAACTTTGTGCATAATGTTCTTTGTAGCCTCTGTGCTCCCATGCAGAGTCTTTGTGGGGAAGCTCCTATAGCTGAGGAATTTTTGGTAGGAACCCTCTCCTGGCACCAAATGCACATGACCAGCAGCTTCCCACACATTCTTTCAGTTCATTTGACTGCCCTTGTAATAGCCTCAAGGAAGCTCTGGTCTGTTGGTAGGTGCTATAGTCCTCTGATGCCATATTAGGCTTAGATCAGCAAGCCTCTCATGAGACGCATTAGTGTTTTTAGTGCTGCTACAGATAACACCATGGACACAGTGCATAAGGCAAGAGCCCCTGCTAGAAAAGAGTTTCCTTCCTTCTTCCTTTAAGCCAGCTTTCCCCAGCCTGGTGGTCTTCAGAGGAATTTGGACCACAACTCCCAGAATTCCCATCCAGCAGGGCCATTGACTGGGAATTCTGGGTGTTGCAGTCCAAATGTGTCTGAAAAGTACAAGGTTGGGGAAGGGTTCTTTAAACCATGTAGCTATATTCATTATCACCCCTGAGGGTGATCATATTCCCACCAATGGCCTCCACAGCCTTCCAAGCACCCATACAGAACTTCCAGGTACCACACAATCTGCTGTAAATTGGACCTCCCAAGTAAACATCACTTCTCACTCCCTTTTGTATGTCATCTCCCTTTCTCTGTTCCCTTCTTTGGACCATTTTCTGCTCCTTCCTTTGATTTCAATTACATCAGACATGTGGGCCCTCAATATTGCCACGAGAAGATATAAAACTGCGTTTGATGTTTCTTCCCCTCCCCCACTTACTGCCTTAGGCTTAATTCGTGTCACACCTCCTTTCACAGTCCTGCAAGCAGAAGTGGATTCTCTGATACTGAAAGGAGCAATCCAGTGGGTATCATCTTATTGTCTTCATGATGGCTTCTATTCCTGTTATTTTACTGCCCTGAAGAAAGATGGAGGACTGTGCCCATTCTTGGACCTGCATTAAGTTAATTTTTTATTACACACACGTACGCACAACATTAGAATGACTACATTGTCTTCCATTTTACCTTTCTTTAAAAAGGCGACTCGTTTGCAGCGATGTTCCTGAAAGACACTTACTTCCAAATAGTGATTGAGTACTCCAGACAACATTTCTTTCAGTTCATGGTCAGTAAAATTGCCTATCAGTTTTGTGTCCTCCCATTTGGTCTATCCATGGCACCGCAGGTCTTCATCAAATGGAAGAAAGTAAAATGTGCTCATCTTGGCTTTTGCATCAGAAAAGCAAGGAAGCAATTTGAGGAGCATATAGCTAATATCATCAAGGCCAACAATAAAGAGTTCTTTAAATAGATCAAAAGTAGGAAAGCAATTGGTCCATTGGACAATAATGGAATTAAAGGTGCCGTGAGGGGCACGGCAAGGATATTGCAGAGAACCTGAATGAATTCTTTTCTTCAGTCTTCACAGTGGAGGATGCAGGGAAGATACCTGTTCCTGAGCTGATATTCCAGGAGTCTGAGGAACTAAGACATTTAGTTGTGGCCAAAGAAGAAGCTCTTGGCCTTAGTGATAACCTGAATGTCACCAAGCCCTCAGTCCAGACAGTATCCATCCTAGAATCCTTAAAGAACTCAAACATGAAATTGCTGGGCTTCCTACTAAAACATAGGTCGCTAAAATAGTCCTTGTGCCAGGAGATTGGAGAATGGCCAGTGTATCACCAATTTTGAAAAAGGGATCCAGGGAGGATCTGGGAAATTACATACAAGTTAGCTTAATATCTGTTCTGGATAAACTGCTTGAAAGCATAATTAAAGACAGAATTAGTAAACACATAGAGAGACAAGCTCTGATGAGAAAAAGTCAGCATGGCCTCTGCAAGGGTAAGTCTGGTCTCACAAACCTATTTAAGTTTCTTGTGAGTGTCATGCTGGGTAGTCCAATAGGCACTGTTTACTTGGACTTCCAAAATGCTTTAACAAAGTCCCTCACCAAAGGCTCCTGAGTGAACTAGGCAGTCATGGAATAAAAAGGAAAGTCATTTTATGAATAACAAACTGATTAAAGAACAGAAGACAGAGGGTGGGAATAATTGGTCATTTCTCCCAGTGAAGAGATGTCATCAGTGAAGTCCCACAGGGTTCTGCATCAGGACCAATGCTTTTCAACCTATTCATATATGAACTGTACTCAGGAGTAAGTAGTGAAGTGGCCAAGTTTGCTGATGGCACCGAACTATTTAGGCTGGTTAAAACCAAAAGGGAGTGTGAGGAGCTCCAAAGGGTTCTTTCCAAACTGAGAGAATGGACATCAAAATGGCAAACGCAGTTCAATATAAGCAAATTTCAAGTATATGCTGAGCAAGAAAGGGATCTTGGGGTAGTAGCTGTAGTAGCTGACAACTCGAAAATATCAGCCCAACGCTCAGCTGCTATGAAGAAGGCAAACTCCATCCTAAGCATAATTAGGAGCAGAACAGAAAATAGAACTGCCAAAATCTTACTTCCCTTATACAAATCTTTAGGGGTACTGCACTTGGAAGATTGTGTTCAGGTTACCTTACCTGAAAAGTGGGGCGACCCGAATAAATACATGATCTTGCATTAACTAGAGTTGTTGGTCCTAGTGGAAGTAACACTGATATTAACATATAGTTTAATTATGTTTATTACTAATGTTTAATTATGTTTATTGTTACTATGTTAACTGTATTGTTTTTGTTAGTTTAATAAAAACTATTAAAAATAAAATAAAAATAATCCATGTGGAGAAAGTGGAGGAGGAGACATTCTTCTCCCTGGCCCATATCACTCAAACCTTGGGTCATCTCATGGAGCTGCTTGGGGGAGGGTTTACGACAGACAAGAGAAACTACATCTTCACACAACATATAGTTAAATTATGGAATGCACTGCCGTGGGAAGTAGTGATGGCCACAAATGTAGAAGCTTTAAAAAGGGCTTGGGCAGATTCATGGAAGCAAAGATGATCTGTGGCTACTACATTACTAGCTATGTACTACCTGGTTGACCAGAGGTGACATGCCTGGGTACGCCAGTTGTTGAGAAGCTTGGGCAAGTGAAGGTCTTGCACCCATCCTCCTCAAGTGATACTCTGAGAAGCTAGTTTCCACCATGTGTATGGGATGCTGGACTAGATGGACCTTTGGTCTGATCCAGCATGGCTTATCTTGTGTTCTTAGGTCATATGTGGCTACACTGACAATTGGTTCCTGGTCACACCCTTGAAACAGGAACTCTCCATCAAACTCTCCATTCTTTTGAGACAGCTCACCCTCTCTGTGAATCATGACAACTCTACTTTGATCCCTATGCAACAGATACAGTATTTCAGGGTGGGTTTGGATACAGTGGTTGGTTGTGACTTCCTGTCACAGGAGTGTGCATTGGCCTTGCCTGCCTTAGGAAAAAACCTCATACAAGCCTACTACATTACAACTTTCTCTGTACAATAGCTTCTAGGCCTGATGATGGATTCCATATTGGTGGTGGAGTTTGATCCTCTTTTCATTCACCTAATACAGAATTGGTTCCTCTGAACTTTCACTCTTGCACTCAGTGCCCATTGTATGCAGCTCGCGATCCCACTCTCCATATGCAGTTCCCTTTGTTGGGGGGTGGCCAAGCTCAATCTGTTAGAAGGTGTACTATGTCTACTGACTTCTCCTTCCAGAATTCCTGCAATAGATGCATCTTTCAAGGGGTAGGGGGATCACTGTGATCCATTAACTATATAGGATGTGTGGTCAGTGTCAGAGGCTTTCTGTCACATCAATTATTTAGCAGTCTGGAAGGCACTGAAAGCATTCAGTCTCCAGTTATAGAATTGACATATACAAATAACTTCAGAGAACTTTACAATCGAACAAACAAGGAAGCACCCAAATCAATCACTCTGCCAATCCGTACTATGAAAATACTTCACTGGTACTTTCCCAGGCATATTCAGCTGATTGTCCTTCATGTCACTGGTATATGCAGTGTTCTGGTTGAGCCGTTCCTTTTGAATGTCTCAGGAGTGGCAGTTGCATCAGAGGTCCTTCACCTACTTTTTGACAAATGAGGAATGCCATGGACCAATCTGTTTACCATAGTGGAGGGTACGGTATGCATGAACTGTTGTACCAGGGCTGAGATAGGTCCAGGGTCTCTCAGAGATGCTTTCCTTTATACATGGAAAGGCAAGCTTTGTTACTTATTCTCTCTCCTGACAAGAGCTATTGCAAAGTTGCAGATTGACAATACAATAATAGCAATAACAATGTAGCCCAGACATCCATGGTTCACTCAGCTACTTCATCTGGCATGTAAAACTTACTTCCACCTTCCTCTCAGGCCAGATCCTCTCTCTCAGAAGTGGGGCTGAATCCATCACCCAAATGTAATGATTCTCAAAGTAAAAGCATAGATAAGCCCACTATGTCCCTCCAGCTAACTTTAGCTCCAACTCTTTAAACTCTTGACACTTCTAGCAAATCAGTGAAAAGGAAGTCATGTGGTTCTAAATGGTTGTGCATTCTGAAATACCAAAAACACTGATCATGCCACTTGCCCCCTCCCATGTGTGTTATGCTTTCTTTTATCCGTGGTTCCATCCTATCATCCGCCCTTTCATCACTGTGGGTCTGTTTGGCAGCAATTCCTGCTTTCCACTGTCCAGCTGATGTTTCTTTAGTAACTAGTCACCCACTGCTTCATCAGATCCTTAAGTGTGTCAATGTGGCAGCCCTGCCAGTCAAGACTGTGGGCCAGGACTCCTCTTCCACAGTGTAGTACTTACTATTGTAGTTCTACTGGACTTAAAGTCTTGTCAGCCAACAAACTGATGGCTATATAAGACATTCATCTTCTTATGCAGAAAGTCACCTTTTTAGTAGGGATTACATCAACCCACCATCCATGCAAACTCTGTGCTCTTTGAATTGAGCCTCATGTGACTTTTCACAGAGACAAGGTTGGTTTTTGCCTGGACATAACTTTTCTCCCAAAGGTCATCAACTTTCATCTGAACAAGCCTATTGTGTCGCCAACCCTTTTTCTGACTCTAGAATCAACAGTGAAAAAGCACCTTGGCTTTCTCTCAGCCTCAGATAAGAGTCTTTCCTTGCCTGTTTGTATGTTATGGGGTCAAAGGAAAATGCCTTCTGGCCTCTTCTCAAAGACAGGCATCATGCCATGAAACTGGCATAAGAACTAGCATGACTGCAACTCCCCCTGAGGGTAACAGCACATCCCACCAAGGGAAGAGCTCCTTTGATGGAGTTCAGCAGAGGGCTTTCATCACTTGATAATTGCCTGCACTGGAACCTGGTTGAACCCTCCACCCACTTCACTGATCATGGTTCTGCCTTTGTACCAGCATCAGTGCTTTTTTTCTTTGCATAATATGATAACCCCTCAATTCCAAGGTCACAGTGAGTCACCTCAGTAGAATGGAGGGAATGCGCAAGAAACACCCCCCCTTGTGTCATGTGCACTGGGGGTGGGTTCCTGCCAAAAACCCCTCAGCTGTAGAAGCTTTCTGACAAAGGCTGTACACAGACACTGAGCCAAACCTTTGTCTGCACAGATGACCACTCCAAGAACTATGGTTAAAGGTAAGCAGTGTGTCTTTTTGCATTAAGAGAACAAGCCTAGATTGGCCTTGGGCTCACAGGTTTCCTTCCTTTTTCTGCACAAAGCATCTATAAGTTTACTTTTTTGCTTTATGGTCTGAATAGCTATCACTTTAATTCCATAATTAACTGTGAGGACCTGAATCAGTCCCTGCTCTGTGGTGTGGTGTGCGGGCTCACAGCTGGGTTCTGAGCCTGATCTGAAACCTTGTGCCTACTCTAGGGTAATGTTGTGATGAAGCTCTGCAGAATCTGCCCTTGAGGAGGTCTGTGGATGCTCAAGGAATCCCTGTTGCACTACTGGCAACCTTCTTCCACATCATGTGCAGCACAAATGAAAGCGGCAAATCACATGCACAGAAAAGAGATGCCTCTTGCGCAGCAGTCAGACAGGGCTTGATTTGTGCATAGGCTACATGAATGCTTCGCCTGCTCACCAGGCAGTTGGACTCATGGCCCCAGGAAAGTGGGCCAAAGCCTGGAGAGCAAAGCCCAGGAAATCTGACAGCTTCCCTCCTGAAACAGATTCCTCACGTTTCCCTACTCTAGCATTTAAAAAAAAATATCAAAGAAGGATGTAGCTGCTTGATACAGATCTAATATGATATCTATTTTGTCTTTCAGATTAACTGCAGTTTAGTGTGCTGTAATAGTCAATCTTAGTTATGATTTCTTGAAACATGCCAGCTTTATAATCTGTGATTTTGAATTAACGTATAATTAACTTCTAACTTCTCTGTTCTAGTTTTGCACTAATTATAATTTCCCAAAATTAATTTCCTTAAGACTTAAACTAAATTCCTGAATTGAGAGCCAGGATACTTGTATATCAATCCCCAAGGACATGGCTGCAAATTTGAGTGCAGCCAATGGGGGAGTTAATTTTGAAACTGGCCCTCCCAGTGTATTTGTTAATTGCTAAAGGCAGATGGGCCAGGAAAAATTATTACCTCCGTCAAGGTAGTGCTGAACTTGATGTTTGCCATTTAACTTGGACATTTAATCAGGCTGCAACTTGGCAGGATGTGTATTAGATTTCTGGAATCAGTAGGGGTATGACAGCTCCCCAGGGCACCTTGGCTGTTTTCTGGTCTGGGATTAGTGTGCCTACTGTCAGTACAGTTTAGGGTCAGTTTTATAGAAAGCAGGGGTCTAAAATGTATCCAAAGGGGGCTTCTTACAGTAGTCTGTTCTTCACAAAATGTAATCAGTTTAGTCTCATCTATTCCAACATTTCAGGAGAAAGGTATTTGTGATTTTATTAACCACAGGCAAATGGCAGAAAATATCACTGTGTATTATTCCCCCTCTCCCAAAGTACTGTGGGTCCCATTCACTGAACGCTGTTTCTAGGAGTTTGCTTGGAAGTTAATAAGGTTTAGCACAGCATAGACTCAGCGGGGTTTGCTGCCAGGGCAGGTCCTGTTCATTTCAACACTTCTGTTGTGGATTCGTACAGAGAGCGGGTCACCTCCAATGTTGTATAAGTGAACTTCCACTTGCACAACAGAACTTCCCTTCCTGCTGCACCCCATTCCCCCATCTCCACACAGGGAGGAGAAATTCTCTTAGCATAAAGAAACTGTAGGATAAAACCCAGTCGCACGGTAGTTTTTTACAGCATAATGCTATACAAATGGCATTCAAACACCGAGCATTGCAGTTTACAACAGAAGATTCGTACTAGTGGATTCCTATAGTTTTACTCTCTCTTTAAAGAATTTGACAAATTCAGGACAGATGCCTTAGCCAGTGTTGATTGAACATCATCAGCATCATTACATCCATTTGTGTCAACGGAAAGTAACATTTTCATACCATTTGGTCTTAATATACAAAGAAAATAATAGTTTTGGCACATTCTTCTAGAATAGACTTGCTACTGAATACCTATTCTGTTCGTTGAAACAAAAAGACACCTATAACAGGGATAGACAGCCTGATGCTTCCTGGATATTTTGAACTATTACTCCCATCAACTATAGCCAACATGGCCTATGGTTAGAGACTGTGGGAGTTGTATTCTAGTGGGTATCACATTGGTTCCTCCTGCCCGAAGAAACCAAGTACCTTTTTGTGTCCATATGTATCATATACACTCCCACCAGGACTTTACTCTAGGAAGTTGTGAGAACAAGACAGCATCAGCAGACAACATTCTCGTGCAGTTGTGGAGGTCGCAGAAGTAGAGATGCCTCTGGATTAGGTTGCTTTTCTGACACCCCAGGGAGTACTTGGTTGCTCACAAGGCACACCACGATATGCTGATGGTCGGGCATGGTGAGCAAGCACTATGCAGCCATCTGGTGCTCACTGCAGGACCACAGCCCTCCTCCTCCTCCTCTGAGGACCCTGCTGTCATGCACCCATGCTTAACAGCAAGAAAGAAAAGCCAGGACCAGGCGGCAAGGAGGAGCCCCTGAAACGTAGAACCAGGCCTGAGCGAAAGGGGTCTCAAAGGTCATCCCGATCCAGAATCATTCCTTGCTGTCAAATCAAGGATCCCTACTGCCACGGGAGGGCCCTTGCTTAGAACTGATGGGGAGGGAAGAGGGGCGCTGTGTCAGCTGTACCTCCCCCTCCCCCCGGTGCCCCACAGGTGTTAGGCTGTGACTATAATTCCCTGCCTACATGGCCAGTGAGTGTGCTGACTAGGATGGTGAGAGTCGCAGGGCATCAGGTTGGGGGAGATTGTACTACATAAACCGAGGGCAGGACAGCTGGCAGAAAATTTCTCCAATGAAGGACTGAGATGCTCAGCTTGGGTGGGCTTAGTGTCCCAGGGAAACCAGGAAAAAGAGCTTTAAAGAGGAAGGGGCTATGGTTCAGTAATCCCAGTTCTACTGCTGATATCTCTCTGTAAAGATATGTAGGTAGGAAGGTTAGGAAAGTCTTTCTCCTGTGGTTTTACAGCTATACGGCCAGTCTTAAATAGAGTGGCTTGTTGGGCAAGTCGTCAACTAAGTATTAGGCAGTTTTCAAGGTTCATGTATACTTTAATTGCAGCAGAGAAAACAGTGGATTGTGCCACACTATAGCTAATGCTGATGTCCTGGAACAAACTGTATATTTTGTACAGGCAAATCATATTCTGTGTTTAATGCAGTCTTAGCACCATATGCCTGGATACAAATTCAGACTTGCAATTTATCAAAAGTAATGGAAGAAGGAAGAAATTACTGGTATGTGGCACAGATACAAACAGTGCTTTTAAAAGCAAAAACAAAACCGACCCTCCTTAAAGCACACCCACACACGGTGACACACACAAACCATGGTGCAACTTTCCATTGAACACACAGAGGTTAAGGAGGGTAAAATGGTGGAGCTGAAAGGTTTGTTTAAATGAACGTTGGTGCCATTTTGTCTTAACATACATATCCCTCTTTTTCTCTGCTTCCCGTTCCTTTCCCCCTTTCCCTCCTAGTTGCCATGTATCGGGAACCATCCTTGCATGATGTTGGAGAAACAGTGCCCAAGCCTGGGGTGACTCCAAGTAAAAGCACAAGTGCATCGGCAATAATGAATGGAGGCAAACCAGTTAACAAGGTTAAGACGACATAGCCAGATCCTCATGGGTATTGTGACTTACTGAGCTCTCTAAGTACGGCTGAGCACTTTATCCTTGCAAGACTGCCTCACTCTGGTATCTGCAGATCAGCCGGAGGGAAGCGAATGCTTGCCCTCTGTGTGTTCTTAACTAGTTTGTTGCAAGCGGCTAAGTCTCAACCTGTAACTCCTCCACAGTAAAGAAGACACCTGGATAACCAGCTGAACTCAGACCATGGAATGCCCTACCAGATATGGAATGCCTTTTTAATATCTTTTCTGTGACTGTGACACCTCATGTGAATGACATACTTCACAAGTACACTTGATATCCTGCCTGCTGACAGTTACCCGTAAACCCACCCTTTTGAGTCCAGGAAACCCATGTGTTTTAAGTTCAATTTTGTAGCACACAAAATAATAACAAGTAATTTCTAGATAGATGCTGTAAACCTGTGCTATTATGAATTTTCTCTTCTTCCCCCTTTTTTACAAGGCTGCTCGCTCTGCTGTCTGTGTGACTCCTTTGCAGGGATTGTGTTTCTCTCAGATTTAAATGTTGCTGATGGCTTAGTTTTGAAAAGCAATCAGGGATTCAAGGGAGCCTTCCAAACCCTATTAGGAATTATATCTGTCAAAGAATAGAACCATTGACTCAAGAGCTGCAAATGGGGATTCGGTGTTCTTGAGGCTGGCATTACTGAGAAGGGAACAACATCAAACGCGGCCAGTGTTTGAAATCCCCTGGTAGTTTCTTTGTGTGTGTGTGTGTGTGTTTTATACATATCACAGGCTTACTGGTAATGGTAACATTTGCCTTGCCCAGCGAGCAAGACCCACACATTTTTGGGAAAGTGGGTCCAAAGAACTCTGTAGGCCTTGTAGGCCTGAATTAAGGCTCATTTTTTCATCAACTAGTCCTTATTATTTGAAAGTTAAAAATTAAATTAAGATAGATGAGAATTGCGCTACCTAAGTCCATTTCAAAATAATAGAATCCTTTTCCTGTTTTTAATGAATGAAAAGTGACGCCATCTTTATTTTTGGCTGCAGTCTACACTCTTACTCAGCAAAGCATGGGCAAGGAAGTTGTTGTGTTCTTTTTTGCAGCACCAATGCAAAGGATAGTCATGGAATATACTTTAATATTTTCGGTGTTTAAAAAAAGAGGGAAGTTTTTAAGCAGGACATATTTAAAGAGTTCCTTTGTGTTTCTTTCTAAAAAAAAAAAAAAAAATGAGCATGCAGAGTTAAATACACGATGTATTATTTCACCAGTGCCCCAATGACATATTTTTCAGTCCAGCTTCTTAGGATATGATGTCCACCAAATTGCTAGGTTTATGGTGCCTTGCCTTGATCTCAGTATTCTTTCCATTGTACTACACCAAATTAGGAAAATTCTTAATGATTACAAGGCCAAAAACTTTCATCATAAATACTGTGGATATTTCCTGGAGGTTAGTTGAGAGGGTTGAAGCCAACTAAGAATTGAACAAATACTGGCCACAAGAAAAATTAGGCAAAACATTAATTGGTAAAGACTTTGAAAGTATTCATTAGAAACTTGTTAAAAGCTGGAGCCATGATATGGACCAAAATGTACCTCATTTCTGGAAGACCACATACAATTCCACTTCGTATTCATTTTCATAGATATTTCTCAACTCTTGTTGGGTTTTGTTTTTTTGTTTTTTGAGACTGTATTTTCAGATTGGCTTTAAAAAAATTGTTTACACTAATGATATCCATTATGGTCTTTTCAGATTTCAGACCTGCAGCCCTACAGTCACTTACCTGGGTGAGAGTAAGTTTCACTGAACCCAGCATGGCTTCTTTCTGAAAAGTCACAAATAGGACACACTGCTAGGAGGTTATAAATTGAACACTGAACTATTCTTGGTTTTTAGAAGGTTTTCATATCAGCTTCTATTTTAATAAACAAACATTTAATATGTGTCCAGGTAGGTTATGTATTGCTGCTTAATGAAAAATAGAGGAAATTAGTATTTTTGGCCATTTAATTTTTGTTCCCTTTCTAATCAAGACAAAGGCTGTTTACAGTTGGATTTTTTTCCACCAGATGAGTGAAACTTGATTTAAAAAATGTTCAGTTTCCAAGTACTTAATAAGACAAAGAAAACAGGGTTTTCGCAAAAAATAAACCGTTAGTCCCTTTGCTGGTGGTGTTAGAAACAAGAATACACTTGTGAAATAGACCCTTTGCATGTGGTCCGAATTGCTTGCCACCACTCCAGGGGAAAGGGACCTACTTCCCATCCCCTGGATCCGCAGGGATCACAGGAGCCCCCCCCCCCCCCCGGCTCATGCAGCACTCCACGTGCAGAAGGAGCGCCGGAAATGCCCAAAGAGAAGCTCTCTGCCCACGTCTGTCAACTCTCCTTATTTACTCTCAGTTGTGAAATGTTATGTGTTATTTCCCAAAGCCCCAGCTCCTGGAGTCTGCTTTCTTCAACTTTAAATAGACAATTAAGTTTCTGTACTGCACAATTAGAGAAATAAATAAATAAATAAATCTGGAATGCTTTAAGCAGGAAAGCAAAATAAAAAGATGTGAAATGGATCTTTTTCTTGTTTTTTTCAAGCTGTTGTATGAATAGGAGGAGGGGCAGGCTTGAGGTTTGCAACTGTCTTGAGGACTGAGAAGAGAGTATGGCGATTGCGTCACATCTCAGCTCATGCAACTACTTTTAGAAGGCCAATGAAAGCATTTTTCTTTTTGAATTCCTGCTGCTTCCGAAGCCTGACGGCCCCCAGTGCGCTGCAACCTTTCAGGCCCATCCAGCAGCAGCATTTCTTTATCTTTCCATGTACGAGAAGCCTTGGGGGCAGAAATGAGGTCCGCACACCAGAATTGATATCCTTTGCCATGTTGACTAATTTTCCAGTGTTCATGATCATCATGCTGCCATCCCAGCCAGTTGTGTAGTTAACCTTTCTTTTTCCTTTTTATTTTTGCCAGTGATTTGTTCTGCACTGCAAATAGAAGACACATAACCTTTTTGATTGTCGTTCACACAGGTTGCCTTCATGGGTGTTTATTTCTCTGACTGGAATGGTCTTAAACGAGCTTGTTTAAGAATCTGTTTCAGCATAGAGGAAAGGATTTGTTGTTCCTTGTGCTTTCATTACTCCTTTAAGTTTGCCTCTTGTCTCATCTGTTGCATGGGAAGAGGATGGAAATGAACTGCATGTAGTAGGCAATATGTATCAGACATGTTGGTATGTACTCTAAACTGACATACATATAAGCAATGAGTTTGTCTGCATTGTACAGTTTGTGTTTATTACCATTTTGTTGTATACACAGATGCAACATATTGAATAAAATATTGATATGAAGGCATATTGAAAAAACACCATTTATATTTTTACAAAAGGTTGTGCAAATTAACATTGCATTGGCTGCAGTATAACAAAACATCATGTAAATAGTTTGGCAAAACTCAATTCTCTCTCCCCTTGACCATGCCAAAGAAAATTTTAGCTCCTTGATATATTACCTCTCTTGCTGTTTTCCAGGACAAGATGTCACTGTTTTGTTCCCTCCCAAATTAATTTTGCTGTCAAGTGAAACCTTCTTTTCAACTGTCTGTTAATTGCTAAAGACCTGTACAGTAAACTGATGGAATCTATTTGTATTTACGTATTGTGTGTGTTATATAATTCCATGTACACCATGTATTTGTGGTCCAGTATTCTCCATGAGTTTGCATGTTTTGGTCTCTTTGTTGTATTGGTGTTAGCATAATTCACAAATGAGTTATTGCAGGTGTGTCCAAAAGGAAGCTGCATCAACAGTGGGCCAGCATGGTATGGACAGAGCTATTTCCACTCACGGCATTCTTGTGCAAGTCGGGTTTCCCATTTATGACAGGAAAGGGGCTGTCTTCTGATGATACCAACAGGGAACAATTCTAAAAGCTCTTTTCATTCATTAGAATTTACCTAGCCAAAACCCACCATTGGATTCACGTCATGGACTGCAGTGGGGTAAGAATGCACCAGTTAGTGGTCCCCTGAGCATGTTTCTTCAGACTCAAATGATGCTGAGCTCCACTGTTCTTACTCTCCAGTAAGGGAGAGTTGAATTGCAATATTTGTGCTTCTAGCAATTAAAGTGAAAAGTTCACTTTTTGACTGAGCCATTATCAAGCAAAGTTTCATCTAAATGCATCAAACATCCATCCCCTGCTAGAATACTGAATTTACTACCATATCATTCCATTTCTTTCTTTTTTGTTCTGTCTACAAAGCATCCCAGAAATTCTTATTTGTCTGCCCATACTCATACAGCACAGTAGCTTTGTGGAACCTGTCCTTCCTTGGATGTTGTTGAACTAGAGCTCCCACTGGATCACCTGACTACTCTTTTTTCCTGCAAAGCAGCTACCAAGGGGGGCTTCTAACTTGATGAGGGGAGTAGTGTTAACCATCCCTGCCTCTTTTTCCAGAGTTAAATTGCCTCTTGCACAGTATTAGCCTCTCTGGGCCAAATTTCAGGTATGCATAGGGCTTTTTGGGGTCTACATATGTGTAGAATTGCACCCTTAATGACTTGCTGCTGCTGCTTCAGCATGTTGCAGGCTTTCTCATGCCTTGATTATTTTTTCACAAGTTCTCCATTTAGGGAATCCATCTTTTGGATTGTTGCTTTTGCTTGTTTCCAGTAGATTGGCCACACCTCTATTCTTTTTAAATACAACACACATTGCATAGCTCCAGCCCAATTTTCTTTCTGGTCAGAATAATTTGCTCAAGGACACTCCTTGGAACTTGGCAGGGAGTGGAGGTGAAGTAAGAATATCTAGTAAAGGAAATGATAGCAGCTAGTGGTGAAAAAAGGTTGTTCCCCCATTGGAAGAGTGTGCTTGCTTTTCACAGGGTCCCATAAATGGCTGAAAAGTCCCTGTAACACTATAAAGGTGTTAAGCTAAGCTCACAGTGGCATTAGAGCTCTTTATACACATGCGGTCTGATTCTTTATAGAGGAA